ATAGTCTCAGCATTGTATTGATATTTATTTTGTGTATTAAATGTTTAATAAAATAAATAAATGCTATTACAGTACTTAAAATGTGTTACATACAGTACCATGCTTATATAGATAATTATAATTGACACCATGTGTCATATTTCTCAAAGATTATGAAACAGTTATTTAAAATATAATTACGATAAAAATAGGTACGAGGTGTTGCACTTGAAGATAATCTAACATGTGACTTGTTTGACAAAAATTTTAAAACATATAATTTAATTATAAACTGGATCAATAAAAAATGGGATGGAGGTTTGTTTAATAGCTCACTTATTAAGAATAGCAAAAATTTATACTCTGGCACACTTAAAGTTCATTATGAGGTAGCCGTGAAAAAACATGAATATTCTGTATGACATCAAGAATATTCTGTGAAATTGGATGATTTGCTGGACCCATAATCAGCGCAAAGATTGCTAATATTAAAATTATATGGAGTAGTGGTATGGTAGAGGAGAAATTAATTAAAAATATATCGCATGTTTACTTACAGTTTAACCTTGAAAATGGTCAATTCCGCCATAGACTCCTATATGTTTAGAAAATAAAATAATTAAAAAATATTTCATGCTTATCATAAGCGCTAATAAATTCTAATATGTATAGAACAAAAATTTATAAAAATTTTCTATGTTTTAGCGGTTTATTGAGTGCTTTAAAAATCAATAAAACAAGAAAATAATGCACTTTTTGAATTTATTAAACACGAAAATGTTAATATAAAAAATTAATGTTTGTGCTATTCATATTAGAATTTATTAGCTATTATGATAGACACAAAACATTTTCAAATAATTTATTTTATTTTCCAAGCATATGGGAGTCTATGGCGGAATTGACCATTTTCAAGGTTAAACTGTAAGCAAACATGCGATATATTTTTAATTAATTGTAAACATAATAAATATTTAGTTTATAAATAAAATCATATATAATTTATTAATTGACAATAAATATTAAAATACTTCTATATGAATTAATGAAATAATTAAATTCCTGTGTGATTATGGATCCAATCCCTATATTTAGCTACCCTGGTATATACGGTTGGGTAGCCTACCCGAGCACAATGTTTACCCCATATAGTTATCCCAATATAAGTGTTGTTGTATGTTAGGGGTGATCCCGAGTCATTCTGCGTGGTTCATAAATAATTTATTAAACTAATCTATTAAAAAGATAAGTTTTCTAAACACTTACATTACATACATCCCGGCCCTCACCACCGGCACATATACTGGTCTCAGCGACGGTATAGTTATAAAAGTCTCTATAAATGGACTGACAGTCACTGCGTTTAACAACCGGCACATCCAGTGTCTGTAATATCTCGGGTAATGTCGTAATGTTTTCATTAGTCATACCCCAACCAATTATCTTAACTATAGATCCCGGTGCTATATCCGTGTCTTTGGCAGCCATTTCAATTTTATTCAGATATTTTGAACCAAGCTCAAATTTGCCCACTATTTGTAATAACGCGATATCGTGAAGTCCGTGCTGGTCATATAACTCGTGATAAATAATCTTGCTAACATTGTAATTTAAACCACTTGTGCTACGTGCAATACTGCCACAGTGTAACGATGCTGTACCGTTTCTGTTTAATATGATAAAGGTTATTATATTAAAATTAAAATGTTTTAATTAATAAATATATACTTGATACGATATGTGTCCCCAATTAATACACAGTGGGCTGCGGTTAGCACCCATTGCTCCCCAATAATACTGGCGCCACACCAGTGGCTACCATCCCATCGCAGTGAACACATGTGTGGGTTATCACCGGCTTTAGCGTCATGTCCGCCAATTATCTTTCCATTTGAATCCATGTCCTCGTCGGACATATCCCTGTCCGCTAGACTTCTACTACTAAATGCGCTGAGTATTAAAGCTATTATAATTAACCTAAACATTGTATTTGTATTTATTGTTGTGTATTATGTCATATATAATTTATATGTTTAATAAAATAAATAAAATGGTATTAACTTAAATGAGCTAAGTACTTATATAATTGAGACCATGTTCCATATTTCTCATAGATTATGAAACATGGATTGAAAATATAATTACAATATAAATAAGTATGACGTTTAACACTTGGAGATAAAAGATATTTATTTAATAAAATTAAAGTATATTGTATAACCATTTTAGTGCATTGGGAACGAAATGACCAGGCTTGTGAAGTAATACACAAGTTGAGATTATTAAATTGTCTTTTCCTTAAATATAATATTTAAATATAATTTTTAATTTTAAAATTTCACACTTAGTACTTAAATATATAATTTCAAGGGTTTTTTTTGAATTTATAGTTTATATGAAAATAACAAGCTCATCTATTATATTAAATGTTAAGGTGTTTATGAATGTTAATGTTTGTCAAACTTTAATAATAAAAATTTTTATATAATTGTATTTAGACACCCGGGTATACACAGTGGGATAGGCTAGATGTGCACATGGATTAGTCCACACAGTAATACCAACGAGTGTTTTATTAATTGTTAATGGTAATCCCGAATCAGCCTGTTTAATTAATAAATATAATACACTCATTTAACTAATATAGCTACATTAATTAAATTGTTACACTTACTGAGCAAGGTTCCCGGCCCTCACCACCCGCGCAAATACTGGTCTCATCGACAGTCATATTAAAGTAATTTTTGTAAATCACTTCACATTTACTTCTCTCTATAACCGGCACATCCAGTGTCTGTAATATCTCAGGATATGTCGTCTTGTTTATAAGACCCCAACCAATAGCCTTAACAAGTGATCCAGGTGCTACATCCGTGTCCTTAGTAGCCATTTGTATTGTATTAATATACTTTGTAACAAGGGGAAATTTTTGCTTAATTTTAACATAGCAATATCATTGGAAAAATTAATTAATTTAGTTTAAGAAAACATGTGAAAAGGTTATATAATTTGTTTTTTCCGACATTTAAAAAGTTATAATTTTTTAAAAATTAATTATAAAACTATTGTGTTTAAATAATACAATAGTAATACACATAATAATAATGTTTATTAATTAAATAAAGAATTACTTTTAAATGCATTTTAATACTCTTTATTTGATTATTAACGACTCTATTATTACTTATTAATTAGTAATACTTAATAATAAGTCATTATTATTTAACAAGCTTGTTTAATTTAATTTCACTTACCCTGGTGTTCACAAAACCTTGATGTTAGGCAGGAGTCTCAGTGAATGGGGCACTGATTACCGTCTCAAAAAATGGGTCTTACCTTGATATGAGACACTCAAAGGATCGGAATTATTATATAATGAATTTTATAAAAATTTTGTTCAAAGGTAATGTCAAAAACATTTATTTAAAAACTACATTGCTTAAAAATAGTTTAAAAACTAAACTTTTTCCATATTTTTATAGACTAAGTTCTCCATTGAAAAGATAGTTTGTTGCAAGGGAATGGTAGTCTGGTAGGCTTTTGCTCTAGGATAAAAATTATAAATAGTAGAGAGACATTATAAATTGTATTGTTAAATCATATCACTATCCCAAATAATTTTTATTATATTAGTACTGTATAAATAATTTTAATAGAATATCATATTGTGTACCTATATATTAAAAATTAAATTAACAAACTAATACATTAATTATATCACAATTAATTAAAACTTATTGAAATAAAACATCATTCGTTGAATCAAGAAAAATCTGTTTAAAATATTAAAACTTATAAAAATTATTTTCATTATATATATCAATTTAATTGAAGTATCTCTTGATTAGCCTTAAAACCCGTAAACTCTTTAAACTCTTTTAGTTTGAATTAGAAATTAAATAAACTATTCTATAAAATAATACCTTCCTTGAACATTTAAATAAATAATGTACAGTATAACCCAATTAATATTTTTAAAAATATAATCAATAGTATTTGTATAAATATTAATAAATTTACAGTTACATTTATAGTATAATATATTACGTGTATTTACAGTATAATATGTTTGAGGTGAAAAATATCTTTCAACTCTGCTCTAGATAATAATAAAAATTCAAAAATCTCTTTTGTTTTATTAATTATTAATGTTTATTATTTATAATCACATATTTATTATTATTTTAGCAATAAAAGTAATATTGATTGAAAATTAATTTTATATTTTTAATATGTTAAATGTAAAATATTTTGTGTTTAAAAGCCATATAAATGTTAACATTTATTTTATAGTTAATAGGTTTTAATTTATAAAAATAATTTTATTATGTAAAATTGACCATTTACCAATTTTCCACTAAATGCTTGTGTGTTCACGAATCCAATCCCTGAATTTAGCCACACGTGTAAACACAGTGGGAAAGCCTGGATGACCACAAGGTTTACCCCATGAGGTTAGGCCTACTAGTGTATTGTTGAATGTTAGGGGTGACCCGGAATCCATCTAGGGAATTTAAAAATAATTTTAATTTATCATACATAAATATAAATACTATATCTAATACTACATACAGAGCAGGGCTCCCGTCCCCCACCACCGGCGCATATACTGGTCTCATCGACGGTAAAATTATCAGGATTAATTTTATATACGGATTGACAATCATCTCGCTTAACAACCGGCACATCCAGTGTCTGTAATATTTCGGGGAATGTTGTGGGACTGCTTAGACCCCAACCTATTGTCTTAACAATAGATCCCGGTGCTACATCAGTGTCTTGACCAGCGATTGCTATTTTGTTGATATATTTAGTACCAAGCTCAAATTTGCCGTTAATTTTTATCAACGCAATATCATTGGGTCCTTTCCAGTCGTATTTATTATAAATTATCTGGCTTATATTTATTGCATAATCAATTCCACCTTGGCTACGTTCAATAGTACCACAGTGCAATATGAATGTGCTATTTCTGAAATATAATTACAAATTTAGTTAAAATTTTGTGGCAATAATTTTTTAATAGGGGTCGTTCAATAAGAATGTAATCATTATAAAGTTATAAAGGTAATTTTGATAAAACATTAACATAATTGGTAAATTTGTTTTTTAATTGAGTTTACAAATGAAATATCTAAGAGTTTTGATTTAAGCTGTGCACATACGTATTGAATGGACCCATAAATACAAATAATACATTACTCGACAATATGTGTGCCGTATTTGAGTACACAGTGGGCGGCGGTTACCACCCATTGATCGCCGATAATAGAGGCGCCGCACGCGTGTCGACCATTTTCTCGTAGGGAACACATGTGCGGGTTATCACCGGGTTTGGCGTCCTGACCCCCATATATCATAGCATTTGTATCACTAGACTCATCGGACACATACCTGCCCTCCCGATTAAATCCCTGTGAGCTTGCTATTAATGTCAGCAAAATAATATTTACAAACATTATTATAAGTTTATTAAATTTTAATTATACCAGTACAGTATATTACACATTTATATCGTGTACACTGTACAGTATATATTTATATATATTTATAAAAATATATAAGTTACAACATTTGTTGTATTTCCCATGAACGTTTACTGAATTACTATATTGTTGTTAATGAGTCATATAGAAGTAAACATGGTACATATTAGAAACGATCCACTTGGCTTATTATTACATTTTTAAATGAAATAGCTGATTATAAGTTCATAAATATTATAATATTTATGGGGTATCTTTTTATATTACATATTATCAGTTCACCAGTTAAATGTAGTAAATTGTATAATTTATTAATCAAATATATGGGCGAGATTGTGCTATAGTCAGTTAAGTATTAGAAAATGTAAACTGTAATTAATGCCCAAACCATATAATAAATTATCCGATTTTGAGTAAAACTAATAGTTTAATTTAATTTTAAGCTATAAATGTTTTTAAAAAATTAATATTTAATTAAAAATATACTTATTAACCAAATTTAAATATAAAATTCTAAAATAAATCTGATGTTTAAGTTTTAATTAACTACTAGCAACGCTTTACATTCAAAAATACTTAACTGGTTATAGCATGTTTTGCTTCATATAAAAGTCTGACCGCTTTATTTTTGAACACATAGTAAGTCATTATAAATACTAGGTATAAACTTGAAGCACCTATCATATTTATATTTATTAAAACATTACCTATAGTTCATAACAATTAGATATTGCAACCAGGTTTTATGTATACTGTATGTATTTTATGTATCTATTATTATATTAAACTAATTCCCCAAACTTAATGTTTTAGAAATTATTTTTACATTTCCAATTAAATAATAATCATTTATAATTACTCCACACAAGGTAAATTAATCTATTGAAATTAATTACAAATGATCATTTTGTATTTTGTAAAATTAATGATAATTCTGTTAATTTATCGTTAATTAGATAAATATTGTGTATTAAATTGTACATAATATCTGATAAACTACATTTTATCAGTAAATAAATTTTTAAAAATAATATACTTTTATATAGTTTGTTAAGCTAATATTTTATATTACAACAGACTATGCCATAGAAAATTTAAAATTATTAAATACTTACAAGTTGGTAAACCATAAATTAATTAATTAATTAAAATCAATGTGATCAATTTAATCTCCATAATAATGGATAAAACGTTTGTAATAATATTCAAATTATTTTCATATTTATTATGTTTGACGGGATGTTTGTATCAAACGTATAAAATAAGTGAACTATACTTTTCATACGAAACCACTACTAATGTCCGCTACGAACTTAACACGGATGAGATTAATAGCCCTGCTTTTACCACGTGTATGTCCAAACACCTGTCAATCAATCAACATAATGTTAATAATTTGATGCAAAATATAAAACATCATTTTGACCAAAATATTTTGTTTTTAAAATTTAACAAACTATCTATACATACGCAATTTGAATTAATGAACTCACCAAGAACATTTCTACCATGCAAGCTAGTAAGAAGTGAAGGACATGAAAGGTCGTGTTACGAACGAAATATTACATATACCGAATCAATTGACCATGATAATTATTGTATAACCATGTTTCCGATGAAGTTTTCTAGCAGGCGTCGAGTTTTCATAAAACAATTATATATTAAATTTGTGCAAGCTAATTTTATTAAAAATAAATTACTACTTCAATTTCACCCACAGCAAAATTTGCTAGCTTATGCGGATAAGTCAAAAGCGCAACATATTTTACTCATGAATAATTCACTTACGGTTTTAAAATTCAGACAAAGTATTGTGATAGATAAGCGAGGTCAAAGTATTAGTAAATGTTTTCCCGGTTACCAATCAAATGATCTATGTAAAGCTAACTGCATAATTAATTATCAACTAAGTAAAAATTTTACGATTGACCCATGGTTACTGTATTACAAACATCAAAATAGTTTTAAACAAATTGATCTACATACATTATATTTCAAATTAAATATTGAAAAATCATTAGATGAACAAATTATTAATGATTGCATATTTAAATGTAATAAAACTGAAGATTGTATTAAATATTATTACACAATCGATAAGATAATCAAACACAATGAAAAACATATTGGTCATAGACTTTACATTGACTTTCCCACTGAACCCACACTTGTATACGAGATATCACTGAAAATGTCTTTCGAGGAGTACTTGAGTCTAACGGCGAGTATTATAAGCCTATGGTTCGGGTTCTCTATCATAGCATTCACTCACACTATACGACAAATGTTTAAAAATTTCAAATATTCGTATATTACTAATAAATTGGTTAAACTTGTTAAAGGACCATCACATGTTAATCTACTTTTCAACCCGGTAATTAAAATTAAAATTAAACACCCCCAGACAAAAGTTTTAACAGTTTCTTAAATCAATTTAAAATGTTAACTTTAATATTTTAAGTATTGTTTTATTAAATTGTAATCATTTATAATAAATTAAAATTGCATATTATTAAAGTAAAGTAAAGTATTTTTGTACAGTATCTGAATAAAAACAATAATATTGTTTACATTTATTTATTATCTAAAATTTAAATTTATATTTTCATTATAATAAAAAGTAATTTGATAATTTTTATTCACCACTATTTATAAAAATAAATATTATAATTTAGTTTGTTACCGACAATGTGATTTCATAAATTTAATATTTACATTGAAAACTACATACAGCTCGAGTAAACTCTTCAACAATAAGCTAATCAATTAATATTATATTAGATTTATTCTAGCACAATCTCATTAATTAACGTCTGCATTATATGATAATATCATACAGTGTTTTATAGTATTTCTAAGAATATCATATTTTATAATAAATTAATAAATAACATTTTTCAAATATTTTATTATACTTCATAACAACCATCTGTTAAATGTTGTTTCAATTTATTGCGTCATAATCAATAATTATTTAAAGACCTTGATACAAGTCTCCTGTGATGCTCGCAAGGCGTACCAGTTCTTGCTTATATTCGGCGAGGACCTCGTAACCAGGCTCACTTTTGCGGTACTCTATTTGCGAGTCAATTTGCCACAGCATCGTTTCGGCTATACCTGTGAACTTGGCTTTAATACACAACAAAACGCGGGGTTCGCTCTCCTGGCGAATGAACTTGGACAAACTATGAAACACGTCGTCGTAATCTATGAGCACCACTTTGTAGCCGGGTATTTCGTGCCCCTTATCGGACCCAGGTGCGCTTGCAAATGTGTCGCGAATATAATCGGCGAGACCGTACATAAGTATTTGGTGCTTGGTGATTTGTCGATTATAACGCGCTTCATAGTCGCTATGCACGAGCACCGTTTTCAAGTTGTTCCTGATCAAATACGGCATCATATTTGCGATAATCTGCATGCCGTCGGGGAACTCGTGTCTCATGGCGAAATTAAAGTTATCATGGTCGTCCGCTATATTGGTCATGGCCTGTGCGAACAATTGTTCGTCCTTGATCATTTGAGCCACCAGGTTGTCGTCCATGAGTGACGAGTTTAATGACTGCAGACAGCGGCGAAAAGCTGATGCTCGCTGCATAATATCAAATGAGTCAGCACATTTAATACCAGGGATAGCGGCCAGGGTTACTGCAAAAATAACAGTAAAAGTTAGAAATATAAAATTCATGTTCATTTGAAATAGCTTGTCTATTTGCTAAATAGTAACTAAGTGTATATTAATGTTGTTACACCACGGTATTTATATGTTTTACGGCGAAGTATAGTATAATTGCTTTATAATTATGTTTAATACAATATTCTTTTTTGGTTCCCTGAATATATTAATTTACGAGAATTCATGAATTTAGTTGAAAACAGATTTAATTATAATTTGTCAAAAATATATTAATAGTATATTCTTAGAAACAAATACTGTTCTTAATATCTATAAAATTATTTTTTGTATAATAATCATTATTCAAATCAGATTTATTATACTGTACAAGTACAATGTAAGTGATTGACATCTATTTTATTGGGTGCGATGAATTATTTTGAAATGTTTCCGGCTGCTTTTACAAGGAATTATAAAATATTCTAGATGACATCAAATGTGTATTTCTAAGTACAAATTATTTATATTTTAAGATTATAAGTTCATAAATACTATAATATTTATGGGGTATCTTTTTATATTACATATTATCAGTTCACCAGTACTAGGTACTAGGTATAAACTTGAAGCACCTATCATATTTATATTTATTAATACATTACCTATAGTTCATAACAATTAGATATTGCAACCAGGTTTTATGTATACTGTATGTATTTTATGTATCTATTATTATATTAAACTAATTCCCCAAACTTAATGTTTTAGAAATTATTTTTACA